ACACCCAAGCTCGGAGAAACTGGTAACGTGGACTCCGTGAAAGCAAAACCTTTGTTATGCAACAGACAGGTGAAAGAGGACAGGTCCTATTTTCAAACCATGTGTCTGAAAGGACCAGCATCTGGAACGTGCAATTCTCAAAACTCAACAGCACAAAAGCAAGCTATCCAATCAGGAAATGGACAAAACACATGAACAGATATTTCACCAAAGAGGATACACTGGTAGCAGATAAGCCCATGACAAGATGCTCAACATCATTAGCTATTCGGAAATTGCAAATTAAAACCACACCTCTCAGAGTGGCCAAAACAAAGAGCAGTGACACCACCAGGTGCTGGTGATGCAGAGAACCTGGTCCCTCGTGTGGCTGGTGGGCATGTAAGTGGCGCAGCTGCTCTGGAAACAGTTGGCTGCTGCTGTTTTTTTAAAATATATCTTTATTGATTTCAGAGAGAGGAAAGAAGGGAGAGAGAGAGAGAAACAGCAATGATGAGAGAGTCATTGATTGGCTGCCTAGCCCGCACAACCCGGGCATGTGCCCTGACCGGGAATCGAACCCCGATCGCCTGGATCCTAGGTCGACGGTCAACCGCCGAGCCACGCCCGGCCGGGCTGGCTGTTTCTTTAAAACCAAACCGTGCAACCAGCACACGGCCCAGCAGTTATGTCTATCCCAGAGAAAGGAAGGCTGAGGTTCACACACAAGTCTGCGCACGAATGTCTGTAGGGGCTTTGCTCAGAGCAGCCAAAAACTGCAGACTGCCCAGGCGCCCTTGCAGAGGTGAGTTAATAAACCGGGCTGGCGCCCACACCACGGACACGATCTTGTTAAGAAGAATGAACTACACCATGATTTATCTATCCCTCCTCCCTACGGCCGACGGACACATGCATCACTTCTCTGCCTGGGCTCTTACAAACCATGCAGCTCTGAATGATCCACTCACATCCCAGGACACAGGCATGAACATGTCACGGGAAGGGGCATTGCAGGGTCAAAGGACACGCTTGCCTCCCACACTGGGACAGTGTCAGTTTCCAAAAGGCGAACCCAAGTGACAACTATATGACAGGAGAGTGAAGCGGTGTCGTATTTCTATGCACCTGAGAGAACAATGAGTCCTGTGGCCCCTCCACAGTGTGACAGGTGCAGGCAGTAAGCACTGAGCCAGGCCCTGGCCACAGAGAAACTGCGGTTGAGGTCGGAATGTGCACGGCCACAGCAAACACCTAGGTGACCAAGCCTGTGCACAAAGCAACTCCAGACAGAAACTCGCACGAGAGGCTCCTGGAAGGCAGCTGTGAGCAGCTGCGCCTCATGCAGCCTCACTGCTCACACTGGGGCCGGACGAACCTGGGGTGACGTCCGACCTCTGTCACTTACCATCTGGGACAAGATACCTTTTGTGCCTCCGTTTCCTGACCTGGGAAATGGGGAAAACACCTGTCTCATAGACTACTACTGTGAGGACTAAAGTGACGTGTGCAGGTGCTGAGTCCAGGCAGTGCTGCCAATGTCAGCTGCTGCTCTACTTATCACATCGCGCACAACTACGAATAACCGACTGGTGAGCTGCTCCCCGAGAAGAAGGCAGACAAGGGGCCTCCTAGCAGCGGGTGCAGGTCACTGAAGGTCAGCTACTCCTGAACATAGTACTGTCCTTGCAAAGGACCGAGGAGCTGTCTCGGAAGGCTGGGTGGGGGAAGCGTAGGGAGGCGTGAGACCAGGGGCCCTGTGGCTGAAGCAGAGGTTGGTGCACAGAACAGAGAAGACAACGTTCAGAAAGTCCTTTCCCACTGACCTGAAAAATGGAAATAATTTATCACCTGTTCACAGAGAAAACTGGTCATAACTAACATTAACAAAATAAGCAGGAAGCAGGGAAACGCAGAACTCAATTCTCAGCTAAAGCGCCCCCTTCTCTACCTGAAGTGATGAAAGTAAGTTAAGAATGTGACATTACTGGCCTGAGACTGGTCCTTTCAAACATTTTTGTGAAAGGCTATTCTCATATATTTATCTTCCAGATGAACTTCAGAATATTCTTTAATAAGTTCCAAAACCTCCATTGAATATTAATGAGAATTACATTACATTTATAAGTTAATTTCGAAGAAATGACATCTCTACAATATTGAGTTTCCCATCCAGGAACACAGTGTCTTGATTTTTTCCAGACCTTTTCTATTTCTTGGTAAAATTCCTTGGCTTCTCGATCTGGTTCCTAGAAGTGTCCTGTTAAAAGCACATGGCCAGGGAAGTCACGCTGGTCTCCACTGCTGACTGCTGGCATGGAGGAAAACATGGACCTTTGTCTACTTAGTTGCCACGGCCAACTGATACATTTGTTTCTAAGTTTTAACTTTGGGGGCTGATTTGCTTGACAGACTGTTGTCATCTTCAAGTACGGTGACCCTGTCTCTCCTTCAGAACCAAACCCCATCTCTCTGGCACGGGCTGGACCCTCCAGGACACCTCGGCAGGGCCGCGTTCCCCGCCCTGTCCCTGAATCTGGTGGAAGTCGGCTGCTGCCCTCTCGGCGCAGCCTTGCTCTCCGGTCCCGAGCCTTTCCCCTCTAGTTCCCAATGCGTTCCCATCGCAGTGGACGCTGAGTTGTACATATGCCACTGACTCTTACGAGACAACACCCTTCCTGGTGATTTGGTTCGAGAATAATTTTTTTGGTTAAATGTAAGGTAAACGTGCCACGTTTAGCAGACGCTGCACCTGACTTGAATTTTTTTAATGGAAACAGCCGACTCGCTGGATGTGGCAGCACAGTGAGGGAGAAGCTGGGAAAGGAACCGATGAGACTGTATCTGTGTCAGAGGGAACAGCTGCCAGTCCCGGGTACCTGCCCGCCGCTGTTAATTACGTGATGAAACGCACGCTTTAGCAATCCCCGACTCGACTCGGTCGTCCAGAATAAACAGAGTAAAAGCACACTTTTTAAAAACTGGAGATATCAGTGAAAGAAAAACAAAGATACAAGAGAGAAAATCAACAAAGCCAAAAGTTGGTGGTTTAAGATGATAAATTTCTGGAAAAACCAATTTTTTAAAAGAGAAAAAGCACAATAAGTAGTATAACAAATAAAAAGAGAATGAAGCTAAACTATAAATAGAGCTGATGTTTAAAAGAATTCTATCAAGACAATAAACTTGAAAATTTTTAAAGACATTGATAACTGGAACCGACTTGAGAAGAAACAGAAAGCCTGAATACTCCCCTAATTACTACAAAAATAAAAGCAGTAGTTTTGATTTTTTCCACCAAAGAAACATCATGCTCAGACAGTTTTATAGGTAAGTCCTGCC